ACTTCCCAAAAGATTTCGGATTTTCACTTTTGAAATCTGAACAATATATGATTTTTCAAAACCTCAGACTCAAAATTTTGTCCAACATCAAATGTGAAAAAATTACAGAAAAACTTGGCACTGTTTTGTTTTTTGATGTTATCTGGGTTATTTACTTTGAAAGCAACTTGTCTGAAGACAAATTATTTTAACTTTGATGAGGTCATTTCTGCTGCTTCTGCTGCCGAGTCAATCTAACTTTAACATCATCATTACTAGAATTGGAATATTCTGAATATATTGAGGGAAAATGCTGAAAAAATAAAGATGAAAGAAATGTATGAGCTTTTTATAGAATTTCATATCACTATGACTTCCTTTATGAAACTCAGATAGCTATGATAGATCAGTTGTGAGAACCTACCTGGTAGTCATAAACTATCTAAATAAGAAAATGTCTTCAGCCACAGATAATTATACCTTCACAAAGGCTAACAAGGTTAGTGGACATAAGTAAAGACAACAAGATTAAGAGCATATAGCCAGAATTTTTCACTTAGTAAGATTCTTCCTTCAACTTTCTTTTAAAATGTAAACTTTGATGTCTTTTCAAGAACAGCATGAAATAGAAATCCCTGACTTTGGAGCATAAGAAATCAATGGTAAAATCCTCTCTCTGTTGTCCAGATTTGAATGCTCTATTTTCAGTTTAAGAAACCTCTGATTAATGAAGTCTTTAATATCTCTAATATTAGTTTTGATGAATATTCACTGGGACAATGCAAATGAGAGAACTTCAAGATGTCTGAGAAAAAATTGTGGATGCTTGTTGAACCATCTTATGACTCTGGTTGCTTGCACACACACAAAAAAAGCAGTGCTTCACTTTAAACTTGTTATGCTCCTGTGCTGAGCCCAGCACATGCCCAGAAGAGGCAGCATTTTAGTTGAACCCAGTTCACCCAAAGTCTATATAGATCAGGTGATTTAGTGGGGCTGTTTTGGTGCTTTTATTTAGTAGCTGATTGAATAGCTGATTGAATAGCTGTCTCTCACCCCATCCTCATCAATAAATTAAGTGACTACGGCATTGATGCCTGCACAGTTGGATGGGTAAAAAATTGGCTGATGGGGCGCACCCAGAGACTAGTGGTGGATGGGTTGTACTCAACCTGGTGAGATGTGAGCAGTGGGGTACCCCAGGGCTCGGTCCTTGGGCCCGCACTGTTTAACATCTTCATCAGCGACTTGGACGAGGGGGTAGAAAGCACACTGTCCAAGTTTGCTGATGACACTAAGATGTGGGGCGAGGTGGACACACTTGAAGGGAGAGAGAGGCTGCAACTAGATTTGACAGACTACAAAAGTGAGCAGACGAGAATAGGATGGGGTTCAACATAGACAAATGCAGGGTGCTGCACCTTGGGAGAAGGAATCCACAGCATACATACAGGCTGGGGAGTTCCCTTCTTGAAAGCACAGAGGCAGAAAGGGATCTTGGAGTCATTATTGACTCCAAGATAAACATGAGCCACCAATGCCAGACCGCAGCCAGCAAGGCCAGCCATACCTTGTCATGTATCCAAAGATGCATCTCAAGCTGGTCCAGAGAGGTGATACTCCCCCTCTATGCGACTTTGGTCAGGCCACAGTTGGAGTACTGCATCCAGTACTGGGCACCGCACTTCAAAAGGGATGTGTCCAGTGTGGAGAGGGTTCAGAGGAGGGCCACCCGCGTGGTGAGAGGGCAGCAGGACAGGCCCTATGAGGAGAGACTGAAGGACCTGAACCTGTTCAGCCTCAGCAAGAGGAGGCTGAGGGGGGACCTGGTGGCTGCCTACAAGCTCATCAACAGCAAATAGGCAGAGCTCTTTTCTCCCCAGCACCACCTGGGGTGACAAGGAACAATGGTCATAAGCTGATGGAGAATAGGTTTAGGTTGGAGACCAGAAGGCAATATTTTACAGTTAGGGTGGCCAAAATCTGGAACCAACTTCCCAGGGAAGTGGTTCTCACCCCTACCTTGGGCAAATTCAAGAGGAGGTTGGAAGATCACCTGTCTGGAGTCTTGTGAACCCAGCATTCATTCCTGCCGGTGGCAGGGGATCAGGCTAGATGATCTGTTCAGGTCCCTCCTGACCCTAGCTACTATGAAATTATGAAACTATGAATCAGCTTTAGGTAAAAGTGTCAAAAAGCCCTGCTGAAACACCTGATCTATGCAGACACCGCAGAACCAGGTCCAAGTAACAAGCTGCTGCTTCTGGTAAAACATAGTTTTGTTATTGTCTCTTTAATGTTTCCAAGCAGCCATTAAGATTATGTTGGATGATGTGGCTACCTGCCCAGTAAGGACTGGACAGAAAGTTACAAAAATATTCTTTCACCTAAAACAGAACTGTGGAAACTGATGGAAAATGATCCAGATTGGAATGAACAATCTACTTGTGACAGATTATATACCCTATTCCTGATATCACTGCCATCCCCTGCATGTATAAAAAGGGAATGGATGCTGTATCTTCTTCTTCTGCATCTCCAGAAGGTCATTAGACATCATAGGATTCTTGAAAATCCTCCAATTTCACAAGGATGCTAGATCTTCTTCCTTCAACTCTTCTTTAGATGGCTTGCTAAGGGCACTTTTACACATACTCTAGGGCTGTTGGGCGAGAAGGGGGCATTGCTTTAATTAGAGTGACTCCAAGAGCCACTCTAATTAAATTGCTACAGTGTCTCATGTATCAGCATCCCCATGCTTTAAAATGGTGGTGGGGGTACTTAAACTAAAGCTCATTTGATGAGCTTTAGTTTAAGCACCCCTGCCATTATTTTTAAGCATGGGGATGCTGATACAGGAGACAGGAGGGTGCTGGAATGTGGTAATTGCCACACTCCAGCAGACTCAATTCATCAATTAATTACAGTGCATTGCAGCAGCTTCTACGCTTGTGTACAGACACCCTAAGAAATGTACTAGAAGTATATGAATTCATTAGGATGGCCTACAACATTTGGTGCATCAAAATGCACCGAACTCTAAGTACCACAGTCCACAGTAGTTCTTGTACCAATCTGCTAAATTGTGTGCATAAAGGTACGCTTGCCAGTGGTTATCTGGTAATTACATTTTGTACTCTTTCTGTATCTGCTGGCCCGTTTCCTTTTTCTAATATCATTCCACAGATGTGAAATGGAGGAAGAAAAGAAGACACTGAATGAACAAAAGAAGGTGGGGGGGGAATCACAGAAACCTACTGGTAGGAAAGGAAACTATATCCTACCAAACATACTTCTACAACTAGCAGTAGAAAAGAAACTAAGTAGATGGATGTTAGCAAGAAAATATAATTAATGTTTATTTTTAAACAGCAAACAAGAAGGATAATTTATCTGTGGATTAAGAAGATAAAAATATAAAGAAGAACAAAAAGATACTGCTCAAACTAGAGGTGGAACTAAAAGGGTATAATTTGCAATTTTTGTTGTTTTTTACACTCACCACAACCAGATAGACATCCCGATAGAAATGCCAACAGACAACACTCCTCCTACAGCCACCAGGAAAAAATAATGCAATTTAGAAACTAACTTAGGAAGCCTTTACCTGAACACGTGACTGTAACCCTTGTATCAAGGGGCCTTAACGTGAATTTTCTCTTTTGATGAGTGCTCTTTAGTCAATGTACCCAGGTCACAGAGTCCCAGGGCCAGAATCTGTATTTATTTGCCTTGGCAGATTTACCCAAATCCTTAATGTAGCAGCAGTTGCCGTCTTTGCTCCTGATTTTTAATAGCAACACAAAGGTATCACCAAGGAGAACTGATGACAACAAAAACATTATTCCTTGCACCTCCTTATCGTAAGACATATACCCATGTATTTTTTTACAGAAAATGTGCCAATGTTTAAAATGGAAAAGGGAAAAGATACTTTGTGTTTTAATGTAAAACAAATGTGCAAAATTAAAAAAGCACAACAAAAGTTTCTGAGAAGAAAATTTCATTTAAAAGCTCTTTGGGAAAAAGAACTCTTAATTATTCATATCGTTTCTTTTTAAAGCACTGTGTAAATCTGATGTCATGGGGATTGCATATCTAATTGTACAAAGCTGCCCTCTTTCTCCAAGTTAGCACAAAGGCTCAACCTTGTTGAGAGTATGAGTCTAAAATGATATTTTATTGTGGCAAAGCACATTGCAAGGAAGAAATTTGAGTTCTGCCTTAGACAAATGTTATTTACTTACTGCCATGGCTTTTAGTAAACAGATGTATTTCACACATTTGTGATGTTGTAATCACAATTTCCTTCCTCTGGGTACAAAAGTAACTTATGCATATATTTTTGCATATTCAGTAAAATGTTGAAAATATACTGTATGAAGAATATATAAAACCCATAAATAACAGTAAAAACCCCCAACAATATTATGGTGGATGGTTAACTTGTTACTTAAAATAAATTTGGGATCAAACTTGTCATCACCTGAAAGACAAACCAGTTGTTTCTGTTAAAATACATATCAGAGTGCACTAATATTAAGGATTCTACAGAGCAGATTTTTATAAAATCAAATTTAATCTTCAGTTGCCTTATTGCAGAAAGGAGCCAAAAAGGTATGAGGAAATGGAAGCTTTGCACTTTCTAGCAGAATAAAATGACATGTTTTAAAAAGCATTAATAAAGTACTGTTAGGTAGCATAACATAGGGATGCTCTGTGTCAGCTGTTATAAGAGTAAGTAAAAAAATTCATACCAGTTCAAAGTAGTTTCTCAGCAAAAGCCATACATGGGTGTCAATTTTTATACATATATAACTATTTTGCAACTAATATTTTTTAAATTCCTCATGGCCATTTTACCATGTTTGTAGCTTGAAAACTTAACTGCAATGTAAGAAACATCTTTCTTCCCATCATATGCATAACGGAAGTGGCTTTAGCTTATGGCATTTTCTTGTCAGAATGGAAAATTAAACATATGGTTTTGCAGAAGTTCCATACCAGTCTTTGTAACATACCTGGGTTTGGATTCTGTTCAGGCCTCTGAACCAGAGAATTTGTCCACGTCGAAGTTCTCTTTCCGCATGGTCAATTTCTTCTACATCTTCATTCAGCTCTTCTTCAGGGACTTCCTCTTTTTCAGTGAGCCTCCCTGCTTCCTTTAAAAACTTTAGCCTACTCGTTGGGATGCTTGCAATGACCTGAAAACACAGTATAAGAAGGTACTAAAAATGTCAACGTTATTCCAGGTTTTTCCTGTAAGGCTTGTAACCCATCTAGAATGCTAGGAGAAACATATTGATGATAGTACTTTACATTCATACAACTTTTTCCAGTCCAGAGTGCCATATATATTTATTGATATGTAAAATATAGACAGAATTAATTTCTTGCACCATTTCTTTGCAGCCATTTCAAGCAAAATATAGCAACTGTTTAACAATATGCAACTATGCAGTAGATGTAGGACTAGGAAAGGAATAGTACCTCCCTAACAAACTATAGCAACAATGTAAATAGAATGTAATTATTCAGTGAAATTTGAAATTAACACCAATGGAGGAATTCTATTTATTTTTGTGTGCCTAAAATACCAGTTTTCTAGGCTGACTTTGGCCCTGCCTCTAAGCATGCACAAACATGAGCCAAACATTGGCTGGGTATGTATGTGCATGAATTTAAGTCCAGGAAAAAGAAAGATTTTAGCTCCACTAGCTCCATGGTGAGAACACAAAACCAGAGACCCTAAGCCTGGCTGACCTAGAAGGGTATGAATATCCATCACTGACTTTCCAACACAAGTCAAACCATAGCACTACAAATCCGTTCCTTCCACCAGCTCTTCATTTGAAGTTGAACCATTTACCCCTAGAGTATAATAGTCATTAGTTAAGATGGATAGAGAGTCATGCACTTGGAAAGTTACTTCCCCATTGGAAGGAAATCTCCAGACTAGAACCCAGGTCCAGCTCCCTTCCCTACCAGCATCTGTTTCACTTAGCCACATTTGTAAAATAAATATGGCCTTATTTGTTTCACATCTCCCTCTCTTGGTGGTGTCCAGAAAGACAGCTTGTAAAGGAGCACTGGAAGGAAATGGTTAATGATTGACCTGTGATGCAGCGATTAGGGCACTGTGCTAAGACGTTAAATTCCTTATCCTGTCCCCACCTACCTTTCCCCTCCCCCAAATGCTGAGAGAATTAGAATTCATTACTGTTTATTGATGATAATGCAAGCATGAAGCAAAGTAAAGAACTTAAACACACAGCTAGTACTCTAAAGCTTTTTCCCCACTAACTGATGGACAGATTTGGACTAGTAGGTCTTATTTTTGGTTAATTCAGTTTTCTTGCTTAAATACATGTGAACTGGATGACATGTTTCAGATTAATGCTCTCCACAATGTGGTTCTGAACTGATATTATAGCAAGATCTACTAACTGGGTGTGTCTACACATGCAATTAATGCTCAGTAAGGTTACTGCACAGTAAAATAAGGTGAAATAAACTGTGCCTGGGAACATGTCTATATGTGTGCCCTGCTAGGTACACATTTGCCCACAATGGCAGCATCCTGGTCCAAGGCTGCTCCTTCCCTGCTCTGCCCCCCTGAATCAGCCAGGTTCTGCCCCCCTGAATCAGCTCCAGGCTACCCCAGGTGACAGTCGGGGGGCTGGTCCCGATGTGCACAGGGCCGAGAGAGCTGTGAGGCTCTAGGAGCATCTGTCTCCCAGTCAGCATTTACATGTGTGATACTGCAAAGTAGCTACTGCATGGCTAATCTATTACCTGTATCTACAGGTAGTAATCAACCACACAGTAGACTAATTTACTGCACAGTAAATGCCACACATGTGCAGGTGGAGATGCTTTACTGTGCAGTAGATTAGTCTACTGTACAGTAAAGTGTATTGTGTAGACACACCCACTTAGACTAAGCTCTCATAGAAACAAATAGGTCATATCAATTTAAGCTTTAAAAGCTGTATTCTCCACTTCCAAGAGATGCAGTCAAGAATAATAAAATCTTTAGTGTGATGGCTACATCTGGAAGCAAGGACAACAGTTAATTTTTTTCTTGTGCAGTAATTGAATAGGTTCCAGGTTTGTGCTGCCTGCCAAGAATGTGAGGTTCAGTGCAAATCCCCAGGATATTTACGTGAGAGAATGACTCATCACTAGGCTGCCTATCATTTAATGCTCTGCTTAAAACAATGCATTGCTGTTTATAATCTTTTGTAGGACATTTAGGTATCTAGGAGTCTATAAAAATACAAACACCTTATGGCACTCTCCACGTCTTTCTTCAAGTGACTACACAACTTTATCCAAAACAATACAAAAACGGCTTCATATTTCTTTTCTGGATTAGTTAACAATTAATCTCTTACATCATTAACACAAACTTGCTCTTTAGCTCCATACTATAATTTGTTTTGGTTATGAAAAGCAAGCTTTGGTTTTCAGCTCTTCAGTCAAAACCACTGCAAATCCCTCATCAAAGTTCCTTTACTAAGAACATTCTTTGAGGCTGTTAGCTGATCTGTTGGTCATTTGAAATCTTCTTCAGTTTCTTAAAGCCTTTTATTTTCAAATAGTGAGGCTGTACAAAAAAAAATTAGATGGAAATTTTGGGAGTCAGCTATTTAGTATACTTTGCATTTCTTTTCCTGTGTGTCCCTTGCGGCCTGAAACTGGAACTGTGTGTATAGTTTTCTGAACCTAGGTTCTGAAATACACAAAGTACATCAGTTCAGCCTTGCCATCTCATTTCAGTTATGGGTTCTGATATCAGGCTGGTCATGTGATGGTGCCTTACACTTCAATAGAACACCACAAAAAAGGATAAATACTTTGAACAACATAAAAAACCCCACTGTAATTACATGCAACATCCAATGGCATTACTGAGTGTGAGATCCAAAGATATGCATTGCATGGGACAAATCCCAAAACCTCATTAAGGTCCTAAATTCTTAAAACTACTCAGTGTTTGCCTTTCTTATTTGCCCCATTGTTATAGTCTTGACTTCCCAAATCAGTGATTGAGATTCACACTTGTTACTGTCTGAGAACAGCTTGTGTCATTCCAGTGCAAGTAAGATTCATCATGTTATAAAAATCAATTAAATGTTCTTTGATTGTAATATGATCTTGTCCTGCCACTGCTTGTTCTTTTCCAGAAACCAATCTAACTCTCATGGTCATCTTCTCTTACTTACTAATATTTTGGTCTTGTCAAATATAATAGAATAACACTTAGCAGCTTTCAAGGTAAAATGTCCTTCTTTAGCATATTCCTAAAAATATGAATAATTTTGTTTTGAATAATTTTAGCCACTGTTATATTGCAATAAATGCTGATACCAGAGTAGCAGAGTGGCTCCCATCTGGCAGGTAAGGGCCAGGTCATCATGCCACGTGCTGCACTCTCCAGAGGAATTGAAAGTCTGTAACAAAGACCACAAACCCCTGTAACTGAGCAGGATGCAGGTTGCATAGTGCAGGGTTGCACACCTATTGATTACTAGGAGAACTCTTGTGTCATATTATGAGAATGAGACCTCAGGTGATCAAACTGGGTGGAGCATAGGAGCCATATAAGCCTGGATCCTGGATTGAGGAGTCAGTCTGGCCCAGATCAGGGCTAGGAGGGCCTCTCCCTGAGGGAGGTCTGCAGACAATAAGGTAGCCCTGAGCAGCTGGTGTTGGATAGCCAGCTAGCAGTAAGGTTTTTGTTTGTGTTGCATATTTACCCTGAAAGGAGTTGGCTATTTCATTTTTAGCTCATCTTTTGGTTGTGACTTGGGCAAAATAGCTGTGAGACATGGGTTGGGTTTAAAGGGAGTAGGGAGGCCCCAGCGGGTGATTGGCAAGGGCACTATATGGTTGACTTGGGACAGGCTAAGGCCCTTAGGACTGATAGTAGGTAGAGAACCTAAGAGACATCTTGAGACAGATCCCATTGCAACTCTTAGTTTGAACACCTACACACTGAATCCCTTCATAGGTCACTGCTGTTAACTGAACCACAGATTCCTCCATCCATGCAATAACCACCAAACTATCAGCTGGGCTTGGTGATGGAATTTTCCATCATTCCTTTGAAGCGGTCCTGTTGTACTGACAGAAATACAAGATTCATGAGACCAGGAAAGAAGTAGAAGAGTTCTCCTCAAATGATGTAATCTATTTAATGTAAAACACAAGATCAGACAAGCCCCTACCGTGAAGGGCAGGGTACTATTCTGAGAGGTGTGAGGTGTAGTTTTGAATCCACTTAGGTTTGAAACATCATTAAGTGCAGGTCCTTTCTACCTGGGTGAGTTGCCTAAGAGATTTTTTTTTTGCAAAAATCTAGTTGGTCTAATAAAAGATATCACCTCTACCATGAGTTCTGAATCCTTTTGCCTCTAGACTAATACAGCTACAACCTGGATACCTAAGAGAATGTAATGCTTTAAACTTGGAGTGTCAAAAATCCTGCCTACGGGCCAGATCCAGCTGTGGCACTGTTTCACCTGGCACATAAGGCTCCTTGTGGGGGCTACCACCAAATTCCTGGGAATGATTGAGGATATGTACCAACACAGCTGTGTTAACTGTGCTCCCACCACTGCTTACCACACCACTACTGCTTGCCCTGCTGCTGCTACTGGATATACATCCAGCCTATGAGGCTCCTGGCAGTTTGGATACAGCCTTGGGGGCCAGTCAACTTTGATACCTCTACTCCAAAACAAGGAGTGCAAGACACGAGTCAGAAAGGGAACAGAAAGAGCAGCCTGACTCTTAAGCCTAATGCTTTAAGATTTCCCTTCAGAGCCTAGTGTTTGTAATTCTAATGTGCTTTCTCAGGTGGTTGCTACTTTTTAGCTTGAGTGCTTATGCAAATAGTGCATAGTGAATTCTTGGACAAAGGAGTCCAAAAACACAACTACTACCTCTCAGGTCAGTGCCCCAAGCACCTGGACACATTCTGCACTGGAGCAGGCAGGTGGCCCCCCTCTTGTAGCTGGTCCATGTTGCACTTCAGGAATTCAGCAAAAAAGAGCACCAGTGAGAGCCTGGCTGTGCAACCAAGTGGTTTGAATGTGTGCATGAGAGTTGGAAGGCCAGAATGCTGTTCCCAGGATGCTGGGTGGGTTTAGTATTTTGGGGGGAATTTTTTTTTGTTTTACTCAGTGACTGTTGAATGTAAAATGCAAAAATCTATCCACCTTCTTGCTTCATGATTTGGACACTCTTCTGAGAGGGTGAGAAGTTCACTTGTCAATCCCCTCAGGGTGAAAGTACCATCAAACCCACCACCTGGGTGAGTAACTAGAGGGGATATAAAACAACAAGCAAAGAAGTGAGAAACCAGGGAACCCTCAATGGGATTCAAGCCCACATCACCTACCTTCCCCAGAAAAGGGTCCAAACCTCCAGGCTACAGGTTGGGCCCACAGTCAAGTTGCTTCCCTGCTCTTCTTAGGCCAAGAGGCATGTAATTTCCATAGGGCCCTAAGGAAAGGTCTGAGTTGGTAGTAGCTTGATTCTATGGTTTTGTAGTTTGCTTTTTACCTGGAGCAGGATGATCTGCCATTATGTTGCTAATTACAAAAGCTTAACAGGGTCAGGAAGAAGAAGCGTAATGGAATGCCTGACTCTGCAGCCCAGTGCTTTGACTATTATATCTGTTATTATGGGATGAGGCAACTGAACCCTTCAGGCCCACAGTTTAGGAAAGCACCCCAACCAGCATGGTAGAGATTATATGGGGCAAGAGGCTCTCCTTGAGAAACTCAGCCTATTACCAGAAAGAAAACCCTTTGGGTTCTTCTTTGAATACTATTCATCACTCCTGAAAATTATGTAGATTGGTGGCTTTACATTATGCAAGTTACATTACACATTTGCTTCAGGATAATACCTGTTTTGAGTATTATCTATATTGTCTCTTCCAGACAGCTAATAATATGTTTTACTTACTTCTGTTAATTAAAGATGATTGCTGCACTCATCCACATACACTTCTATTAACTTTTGGTGCCAAAGGTTGCAGAAGATCTTATTATTGGCACCTAAATTAAATTGCATAAAAAATCATCAGCTGTTCTGAATGCACTCCAATTAGGAAAGGAAGGGTATCTGTGCCTGAAAGCTTGTAAAAACAAATTTTCCATCTACTTAGTTGGTCTAACAAAAAATTTCACATTTACACAAAGAACCTTGTCTGCCTAGGTCTTTAGCCCAACATGGCTATAACCAACACCCATGTCCTAAGAAGTAATTGATATTAAAATTTCACTATTGCTAGCAAGCTCAGAATAGAAAATGAGTGGCTAAGCATGGACACTTAACTACCCTTCCATTTTCTTCCAGCTCATCATTGCAGAACAGTCTCCAGTCATATAGGCTGAGGCAACAGTTGGAAGTATATAATATATCTGCCCCTAATGGACCTATTCCATAGCTAGAGGGCTATAATTCTAAGAGCTATGAATACAGTATCTTTTGCAAACAAATGTAGTCACTGAAGAACTTAGTCATTGAGATTCTGTGTACTGCTTAAGAAAAAAACCCCCTAAAAGTTACCTAAAAAGGGTAACTTACCTTAATGGAGAAATAACACAATAGTTTTAACACTTTTATTTTAATAGTTAAAAGTATTTCTCAGCTCCAGTGTATACTATATATGATTCAGTGTGAGAGATCATCTTGGGGACACTTCTGTACACATGATTGCAAATAGTTACTTGTAAGTTAATGTTTCCCAATTCAGACCTTATCAGTTAGTAATAATACAATAAGGTAAGTAGAAATCCACATATTATCAAGTAGCACTTACCTGACCCCAGACAAGTTCTCCTAATCCAATAAATATACACCACATCCACTGGTCAAGCTCCAGAGGAGAACAGCTGAAAGGCTTCCCACCAAACTGCACAATTACTATCTGCAGAGGAAAAATGGGAGGAGGGGAAACATATTATCTTTCCTTTAAAGATGTGTTATATCTCAGTTTGATTGAGCAAATACATTGCTAGTGGAACAGTTAAGCATGCCCTAAGATAGTGATTGGCAATCAGTGTGCCACATGGCATCTTGGGGTGCCCTGAGATTGAAGGGTTCCACACAATGTCAGCACTGTTTGGCATACAAACATGATTCATGAGATAAAACTACAGTTTTCAAATAGGAATCCATGGTGTTAAAACAATTTGACCTGTTGTGGTCTGAGTTCTCTGCAACAAAAGAATTGCTCTTATTTTTCTATACTCAAAGGGGAATGAAAACTAAACAATGGCATTTTCCAAGCATGCCTCTAATCTAAACAGGCTGAGAACCTCTGCTCTAAGCATACTCAATTGAGTAGTGTCCTGAACATGTCTGAAAGTCAGGAAAACTACATTCTGATCCCAATCTTCTACTTGCTATCCTACAAGTCCTTAGATGAAGGCAGACTGATTTGGGTGATCCATTCAAAATACCTTAGGTCTTATTTTCAGAAGTGCTGACCACCCACCCCGTATTGTGATTAGTAGAGGCTGAAGTTTCTCAGAACTAAAAATCCAACATAGTGTCATTTAAACTCTGAACTCACGAACTGATGAGTCTTGAATGGGATCTAAAGGCAAAGCATTATTTTATGTTGGAATGTATTTGGAACAAGAGATTTTTATTGAGTGTTAAACATCTTATTCCATTGCCATTATGTTTTATATTAAGGCCCCAGGCAAACAATACACTAAAGCCATGATTAATTGATTAACCAGTTTATTGCATCTTAAAGGTGGCAGAAAGAAGTGCAGCAGCTTCCTGTAACTGAGAATGCTTTGCAGGAAGCATTCTGAGTTACAGTGATGTCCTGGACCAAACAAAAGTTCACTGCTGGTTCCAGGGAGGGTGGGGGTGAGCAGCCTGCAGCTGCTTTCCCCCAGCAATGGACTTTTCTTCCCCAGCCTGTCCCTTTTTCAGAATGGGTGGGGCAAAATGGAGCTGAGGAAGTTCGGTCTGGGAGTTTTTCACCCCAGCTGGAGGGTGGGGTGGGTGAATTGGAGCCCCCCCTCACCTTAAGGTGGGGGGTTTCCAATACACCCACCCCACCCCTCTACCAGGGGATGAAAAACACCCAGACCAAACTTCCTCAGCTCCCTTTCCCCCCTCCTATTCTGAAAACAGAGACAGGCTGGCAGGCAGTGCAGACAGAAGTTATAGCAGATGCTCTATTTTGAAATGTCTTCATCTGATACCTTATGTAATGAGGGGTCAGATTTTCATCCAACTGACCATTTTTAAAGCTGTTTGCATCCATGTACTTGTGAAACTGCTTTCTGTGACCAGACCAGGAGAAATTTTTCACTTCTGTCTGTACAAAGTGTAAATCAGCCACATACATGTTCAGGATATTAACAGTGCAATAAACCAGAAAACCAGCAACAAAGTTATTACAGAGATATGTGTAATAACTTTGTGGCTGGCTTCTATGGGGCCTTAAATAGAATGTGGCAGGGTAGACCACACCAGGTTTGCAAATGGCAAACAACTGTTGGTTGGCAAGGACCACACCAAGGTCGAATACTGGTTCAGTCCCTGCCAGTTGACAGCAGATCAGGACCACTGTGACCTAATGCTCTGTGGCAGTACCAACAATCAGCTGATTGGGACTACTCTTGGGCTCAGTTTCTAGGGTGGTCCCAATCAGCTGATCATGGGTCTCCAGAGTCAACTGATGATCAGCTGATTGCTGAGCACCCAGATTTCAACTTGCTCATGCAGGAGGATATAAGGGGGTTCCTGGGATCACAATCCCAAGATCCCCCTGCACCAGCAATATAGCACAATTCAGATCTGATCCCTGATGGTACAATTGTGCCCCCTGCCATACATGTGTGGAAAGAGCTTTCCCATTCCACCTTCAAATGAACAACTGTCAGCAATCTAAATGTCATTAAAATAACAGATTAATATAGAATGCATTCATTTATAGAAAAAAACTGTATCAGTTATTAAAATGTATCAGATATGTACACATAAGTAAATATCAATTGAAACATTTTAAATGCAATTACTGATCAATTCTGGATAATGTGATGTTAATTCAATTTTTTTTTCTTAAATATTTTTCTTAATTTATCTTCTCTTTTTAACAGCATCTTACTAATGACTGATGTGAACATAGAATAAATGAATATATTCAACAGTAATGTGGGAATGGGTAGTCAGTTAATCTAAACACCATACCAGTGAACTAAATTGGTGACAATTCATAAAGTTTCTTTGCACAAAAATAATTCACAGGGTAATTATAAAATAGAAATGTTGATATGGGTAAAAGACATACACTAATTTTGTGGCAAACATGACACCTGAATCCCACCAGATGACTGTAGCCAAATAAATCATATATACATGGCTTTTCTAATGTGTGCGGTTCTGATCTAATTTATTCAAATTTCTAAACACAAACTTTAATTCCCTTCTGATATTGTGGTTTATAGGATGTCTGCATAGGAAGATGAATCGTCAATAGCTATAATAGTGTAAGTGTCAACAATTTAAATGGGTAGTCTAGGTCCCATTTATCACATTTACTAAGGTCAGGGCTGTCCAGCTGGGAGCCTATGGGCTGCATCTGGCCTGAGGAGGTTAATATGTGGCCATCAGATTCCCACCCAGCTACCACTGCTCCCTTTGCTCTGGCTGCTGTATGTAGCAGAGCACCTTTGGTGCCTGCCACTTTAAGGGCTCAGAGCTAGCAACAGAACAGCCTGCAGGTGACAGCACTCCCCAATCAGGAGTCACATGGCCAGCAGGGGATTGCCTGATTGGGGAAGAGAACTCAGCTGCTGGCAATAAGAGCAGGCCTGAGCAGGAGAGCCAGTAGTTTGCTGGCTGCAGGTATAGAAAGAACATTGCCCAGCTGGAGCTGCTGCTCATAGCATCTTGGAGGTAATGGCAGGAGGCTCCTGGTCCTGTGGTATTACCAAAAATTTCACCCTGCTGGGGTAAGATGATATTGTGGATCTGCTTGTGGCAGGGTGTTCCCCAGAAAATGATATACCAATTGCCTCCCCAGTGAATAAGGGGAGTCTTAAAGCCCCATCCCCCTATATATGGATAACCCAGGGTATGGATAAGCAGTAGGGCTAGGCATGTCTATGGACACCTGAGTCCATGGGGTGTAAAACCCCAGAACCCCAGTACAGGGGTCTGAATCATTGAATCATAGAATAGAAGGACCAGATGGGACCTGTAAGTTTGAGTCTGGTCCCCTGCCATGGGCAGGAGGTAATTGGGTTCAAACAAGCTCCATGAGTTGCTTGTCCAGCCTCCTCTTGAACACCTCCAGGGATGGGAACTGCACCACCTCTGCTGGGTGTGTGTTCCAGATTCTAGTTACCCTTATAGAAAATAAATTTTTCCTTATGTCTAGTCCAAATTTTTCCTCAACTAGCTTGTGCCCATTGGACCTTGTCCTTCCAAAGGCTGCCTTTCTGAGATCTGCTCCCCTAGTGGTCACCCCTGAGATACTTGTAGGCAGCTAGCAAGTCTCCTATCAGTTATTTTCTTACTCAGACTCAGCCCAGTTCCCACAGTCTCTCCTCATATGACCTGTCCCCCAGGCCCCTGATCATGTGGATTGCCCCTTCTCTGTACTCTTTTGAGCTTATCCATCCATCTTGAAGTGTGGTGCCCAGAACTGGACACAGTAGTCCAGCTGTGGCCTCACCAATGCCAAATAGAGGGGGAGGAGCACCTCTTCGGATCTATTGGCAACACATTGGCTGATGCACACCAGAGTTATATTTGCTCTGTTGGTGATTTCATCACACTGATGACTAATATTCATTCTTTGGTCGATTGTCAACCCCAGGTCCCTTTCAGATGTAATGCCAGCCAGTGGACCACCACTGTGAAGGTTCTTCCTATCCAGATGAAGGATCCGGCACTTACCCCTACTGAGCCTCATCTGATTGCATCTGCCCATAGGACCAACCTGTCAAGGTTATCCTGGATACTTGCCCTGCCCTCAGATGTGCCTGAATTTCCCCACAGCTCAGTGTCATCCACAAACTTAATGATTGCACTTCCCACTCCCTCATCCAGGTCATTGATAAAGATGTTAAAGAATATAGGCCTAAGCACTGATCCCTGGGGGACACCACTGGAGACGGCCCTCCAGGAGGAGGCCACCCCATCAGTTACAACTCACTGGGATCGGCCACTGAGACCATTGCCAACCCATCTCACTGTAGCCTGGTCTAGGCCAGTACCCTCTAGCTTAACTGAGAGAATCTAATGGGAACCTTGCTGACATCTAGGTAAATGATGTCCACCTCATGCCCCATGTCCAGCTGGTTAGTTACCTGGTCATAAAAGGACACCAGGGTTGTTAGACATGACCTCCCCTCAACAAAGCCATGCTGGTTGTTTCTCAGTGCTCCACCAGTTATGAGCTTGTGGTTGATGGTTTCCCTGGTGATTTTTTTTCAAAGATTTTTCCCAGGATCAAAGTCAGACTGAGCAGCCTATAGTTTACAGGGTCATCCCTCTTCCCTTTCTTAAAGATGGGCACCACGTTTGCCTTCTTCCAGCCATTCAGGACCACTTCTAATTGCATGACTCTTTGAACAGCTTTGCCAGAGGCACCACTATGAGTCAGGCCAATTCTTTCAGGACTCTCGGGTGCAGCCGATCTGGCCCAACCAACTTGAAAACATCCAAATGCTCTAACAGTACCTTCACCTGTTTGTGGACTACTATCATCACTGTATTCTCTAGGTTGCTGGACAGGTGACGAGTTCACGCCTGGTTTCAAGAATACTGATGTGAAGTAAGAATTAAGGAGCTCAACCTTTTTGCAGGGATCAACTATAGCCTCAGTAGGGGACTCACAGTGGAGCTTGATTTCTTCTTGCTCCCTGTGTACCTATAGAAGGACTTTTTGTCTTT